TTTTGCACATGTCCGCCAGATGCGTGGCGGGAAAGTTTGATAAAAGCGCCGACTTTCACCTTAACATTCGATAATTAAAAACGGACATAAGCAAGCGGTTAATCGCTCATTAAACTTGAACGGCCGCAATAATGGTTTACTGAATTGCTAACAAGTAATACGTCACTCCGTGCAATCGATCGGTACTCACTATCGTTAGTATACCGAGCTAATTCGTCTGATGCTTGCGCTTTTTGTTTTAATTAAATGCAATGATGCGTTAAGTTTTCAATAAATTGGCAACCACCCTGTGTATCAATTAAGATATAGCGTGTTTGAATAAATCTACCAAAAACTAACGAGTACCTTTGGTTTTAATTGTATTACCTTTGGTATAAATATCAACGTAGATTCGTGACTGAAACAGTTTACATTCCGAGTTTGGGTAGGTTTTGATTGCCATTGCATTTCCTGACTTTGACCATTAACGGATTAGAGCCTACGCTTTATGAATGTTAAGTTTTGTGTGATAGGCTAGAATGGGCTGTTTTCAAATTTCTTGCCAGTGTTAAAGTGAGAGACTCATGTTGGCTATACAAATATTGGTGAATGCGACGAGGATGACCGTAAATTTGGGACAAAATCTTGACATCTCAGGATTGGGTGAGTAGAAAGTTTCGATACTAATGCTCCCATGATCTAAACGAAATAAAACATTGTGTGTAGAATACCTTGAGGTAGGTACCTTTTTGCGCAAATCGCTTTCACTCTAGATTTTGAAATATTTTAGTATAATCTGGTGTCTAAGTCTAACACACATGTTCGCATCTAATTTCACTATCAGTGAGTCAGGAGTGATCACACTGTGGAGTGCCCCCAGGAGAGGCTTTGATGTCCGATTTTTTACTTATTTTTGGAAAATATGGCACCGCACCGCGCAACGTCATAAACGCGTCTTCCAGACTCTTGAGGTGTTTTTCGAGCATCACGTCGTCCCACAGACACGTCTTCCAGGAGAGACCTCTCAAGACCAGTTCCATTAATCTCTCTAGCGTTGTGGGAGCATTGCACAGGCCAAAAGGCATGACCGTAAATGGCCGGTAAGCCCAACCCTATGTTAAAGGCTGCCTTCTCGCGACTTTTAAGGTCAGGTTCAATCGTTCAATTATTCTTTGACTAGCCATGTCGGTGATGATCTTGACTTCCTCGTGTTTAATCCATGGTAATTTTCTTGGATGTTAATAGGTTGGGGATCTTTATGTGTTACTATATTGCTTCGACCTACAAGTCCTTTCTCGGAAGCAAACAGATTTTGGTTGGTACAAAACGTAGGTAATATTCTTTGGTGGGCGCAAATGAACCTATTAGCCTGCAGGTTCATTTGTGCTTGTAGTCAAATTTCTTGGCGAATTATGGGTACTCAAAAGTGTCGCACTACTGCAGCTACTGAAGCGCACGTCCCAATAGTCATCAGGGACTTTCTTTATCATTTGGTCAAGAATGAGTTTTTTTATGTACCGCACTAACATAAAGCGAGAAAAACCGGAACTATAAGTTAGTCTTAATTGTAACCACGACAGAGCTGGACCGATTATTTTGTAAATCGTAATAAATCGATTGGAGTATTTCATAAGTGTAACAATATACTGACTTGTTGCAGAAATGAAAGTAACGCAAAACTTCACCATGAACCTATATGAACTGAATGAACAAATTACCAAATCATCAAAGCTAAATCAAGACATCTCCTTCATGCAGACTAGCATTGTTTAAAAATTGCTGAAATAAACATTCTGACACTGTTGTAAAATATAAGCAAGTGTAATTATGTAATTTAAATGAATTGAGGCAGTAATTTTCCAAAAGCTGCCGGGCGTTCACATTGTGCTAGGGGTTCCCCTCACACCTCGAAATTTTATTTACAGGCCTGCGCTCTCAGCACTACCTGGCCTCCTTACCCAGCACAGGCCTGTTCACAACTCATGTATAGCACATAGATTCTAAACCGAAGTTTTGTTTTAGCAAATAATTCCGCCCCTGGAATAGATAACTCGCCCCTTGTTCGAAGTCAACTTTTTCGACCCTCGACCCATATATTGGTACCATTGGATTCCATCACACCTATAAGCACCTTCTCCGAAGATTTTCATGTATGCTAGCCATCACAACTTATTCTCACAAACTTTCGGCAGTGTACATTGTTCACTCCTTTGTTCACGTCTATCGTAAACCCAACAGGAACTTGATCACTGGTTGTCATCTTCAGCCTCAGGTTTAACAATTGTAGTTTTTTCTTCCTTACCATATACGTAGGTCATGTTTACAATGATGGTCGCTGCACCCATCGAACCATGAGAGAGTGCATATTTTCATTATTTCTCACTTCGGCATCGGTGTTAAAATTACACTAAACACAATTAAATCGCTTATAGAAAGTTGGCATATCAAATTTTATAGAAAAAATGAAACGCATCTCCTTTTATTATTATCGACATTATGGCGTCTCAATAACGTTCTAGAAGATTGGTAGCAATAATAAATTACTTCATTTTAAGATCGGAGACCACGTGACATTTTCATTCGTAAACAAACAGTCCAAGTTAGACGACTCTCCGCGGTGTTGCCACATTCGTAGTACCTTTCTTTATTCATCACGGACACAAGATTTTTATAATCACGCGCCATCTATCAGGTAAATCTTATTTTGCCTCTAATCAAAGAGTAGGTTGCTCTTTGCTCTAATTTCGTTATTGATTTTTACAATTAAATTGGCTGGTGATAATTATATCCGCAATGTATACGTAAATGGCGCTATTTAAATTGTTCAAAATAATGATTTCTAACAACAAAGTGTAATGTTCCTAGGGGTCTATCAAGCCGACACGGAAAACGTTGACTTACCCTATACTTACCGTTGGCAACTCTGGCAAGAAACTACAAGCAGAGCCACCTACCCTTCAAGTCAAAACGATGGACGTTTCGCGGTAGTTTTCATTTGGATGGCAGTCGGCTCGATATGGGTGGCACGAATGGACTCCTACGTTGTGTAATCGGTTCTTTTATGTGTTGGGACGTGAGACATAATCGGGAAGGGAATTAAATAAAAGACAGAACTTTTGTGCGTAAGAAATGACATGAACAAATAAATAAATTACGTACACAACAAGACCATGCCAAGGAAACCTTCTACGGGATTAAAACCCTCGCATAGGCCGCACAAATACATGAAATAAATCACCGACAGCAATAAAATGCAAGAAAAAATGCACATAAATAAAACATCTCAAATTGTATGATAATCAGATAATCAAATCAAATGCAATTAAACAAGTTTATAAAATCAAAACACAAAACATCATAAATGCAGTGGAAAACATGATAAATCAATTCAGTAGAAAAACACATCAAAATACCTGTACGATCGATAGAGATCACAACTCGTAAAATAATAAATTGCAATAGCAAGTATTCATGTGAAAATCGATTATCGCTCAAACAGAACATATTTTAAATAGAGGAAATGTTAATGAGAGGGCCCCCACTCGTATTGCTAAGATGTTAAGAACTACAATCCGCACAAGACGAGTAGGCAACAGATACAGCGAAAGAATAAACTGCATTAGGTACCTACTCCACGGAGACAGCGAATGACCCACTCGCACACACAAACATCGAAACATCAAATAAAAGAGCCCTCCTTCGTATAGCTAACGCACAAGAACTGCAGCGCGCCACGAATCAGAAAGTAACAGATACAGCGAACAATCAAACTGTATTAGGTACTTCCCTCACGGAATAGTTACGGATCAATCGGACAGAGCAACATCGCACCGATAATCACCTCCTCGTGAATATAGAAATAAATAATTAAACAAAATAATGGCATAATCATCTATACATTATAACAAACACGATTCATCTAACGGTACTTACTCAAAACAAAGGCATGGAGTACGCCATGATTTAGATATCGTAGTTTATGCAAAATCAGCAAAATGTAAATAAGTAATATCAAATTGGCAAGAAAGTCAATGATTAAATCTAGTACAAGAAAGAATAAAATGGTTACTACCTATAAATACACCTTTCAAAACACCACCACCAGAATAATCAAACATTTAAAAAAAAACGGAAAGCGTGTGCCATCTTCTCCATTTTCCCCTAGCTTCGTTACGAAAATCCCCTAGTATTCGGCATCTGCCCAAAACGGTCATTGGTTATATACAGAGCGTATTATATTTTTGTTTCAGATGTAAACATGTGTTGCCTAACCATCAGGGTGGATTATCACAAAAGTTTATATCAAAATATTCATAAATTTAAAATTTTAATGAAATAGCACCGTTTACCGATAAATTAGAATTACGATGTCGAAAACCGCATGAAAATCGAATTAAAAATAACGAAGATATAGCGAAAATCGCACATTATTGGGGTATACAATCCTCTTAAAACGATTGTACAGAAATAACTATTAAAAATGCTGCAGAAGAAGCAACCACTACCTCAAAAATCCAAAAATGTATGCAAAATGGCAGAGCTGGGAAGTAATCGATTACAGTAGTATTTAATTACTTTCTGAGTAATCAGTAACTAAAAGTAATCGATTAGAATTATTGTAATCAGTAATCGAATACAAATTTTCTGAACTAATCAATTAGTGTAATTAAATACTTTTATGACAAAGTAATTGTAATCAGTAATCGATTCCTTTTTTTAAGTAATCATCCCAGCTCTGCAAAATGGTATTCTGTAATGATGTTACAAGAACCAGAATGTATACCTTGCCAAATAACCTTCAATTATAAAATTATGTTTGAGACTTCATTGTATAACTACAAGTGTAACTACATACCACTTTTTGTCCCTCTTGTCTTTTAATTCCTCCCATACATTGATAAAACACCATATTTGTTACCATAGTGACCAAATTAAATTTAGTTTAGTGAAGTGTCTAGGCCAGGTAGATCTAGCACTTTACAGACCTTTGAGTTGGGTTGTGGAGTCTTTCTTAGCTGGTCTGAATTGCATACAAATTTTATTGAAGACGGATTAAGTAGGTATTACATTACACAGCAAATTTAATACTAAATACAGAACTTAATAATACATTCCTAGTTTAACATTAAACAAAAAAACAAAAATTTACAGGACAAGATTTACTCAATAAATGTTATAATAGCAGTAAGACGGTAATATTCCTTAAAACATAACGGAAACCCTACAGTCTCATCGTCATTATTAATATTGACTACTCGATACTTATTGTAGTAATGACTTGCAGACCTTAGCCTACAGTGCTCATGAGCAAACATAATTTTCACATTAACTCCAGATGGTAAAATACTATTTAAGGACCACTTATCACCTTTGGTTGTAATGGCACACGTAAACAAGACAACTTTATCCCCTATGTTAGTAAAATAAGATTTTTCAATGACATTACCCGTAGAAGAAGCATTTCGATTAAATAGTTCCACAAGAATTCTATCTGGCGAACAATATGTAGCATGAATCTTTAAATGCCTAATAAATAATTGAGATTCGTTATAATTGAAAATTCTATTTTCGCAAGAGGTATAGAAGGGGCATAGGTATGTCTTAAATTTGCATGTTTCTATGTGAACAGAAATGTCTGCCAAGTTACCCAAGAATGGACATCCTCTCCAGCAACAAGAAAAATTTGTACTCGTGCTAAGTGTAGATTCATGAACACCGGTATGTCCCTCACAACAGGCACCACAAAGACTAACATCACTATCTGTAAAGTACAACGGTGGAGATACTAACAATCTACAGTTATTACATCGGAGCCACTCCAAATTTACTAATTCTTCATGCAGTATATTCGATAATGTATTTATATTACTTACAGTTGCTGGCTTATGAACGTGATTTTCATCACTGTTAACAATTAAAGTAATTGAAACTTTAAAAACTAAAGATGGTGGATTTGCTAATACACCGAGATATTCCTTCATTTCCAATTTAATACATTTTGCAACGTCTATGTCACGAGTTTCGTAGAGACTGCACAATTGTTGTGAAAGATTCAAGCTATTATCGCTATCGGTACCACTTATTATTTGCAACTTATAATAAATCGACTCCTCCTCGTTTGATATGTACGCAATCTCAATCTGCAAGCATATCGTGGAGGAATCATACAAATACTTTATAATGACTGTAATATCATCGTGCACCATCAACAAATTACACCTAGCATTTTCATTCAAATTAATTCTAAATTGTCCGTCATTATTGATTAATTCTCTGTGGTATTCCTCAAAATGTGTTTGGAGCTCCAAAGCTAAAAGTGATGACACACACAACAGTGAGGGACAGTCCAATGTGCGATAGCGGCATTTCCTTTCATGCTCAATGATTGAATTAAACAGCAGACGCTCCTTACATCCTTGCTTATCAAAGCGACATGGGAAAATGAAATTGCTCATGGCCTTTTCATAGGCGACTTGTAATACGGCTACTGTATCTTTTTTATAGCATCGCCCGCAAATTAACTTGCCATTATCCTCCGTAACTGGCCCGCAGGATAGGTATCCATCACAAACGGAACACAACAACGTGTTTACGACATCGGACGGCAAATCGTAGACCAAACTATTGGAACTCATATTAATAGACCTGGAATGTACTAATTGGGTTGGTTGAAGTTTGATACGATATTTAAAAATTACCTCAAAAGTAAAAAAAGGACCTAAATACCAAAATACGTAACTCCAATCACACTTAGGAGAGAAAAAAGCCTAGTTTCAGCAAATTTCAAACTGATTCAAACTTTTTAGGTTATGATTCACTAAACTCCCTCGCCACTGACAAGTAAAGGCGCGTTTAGACGTATCCAGTATTGGCGCTAATTCTTGGCTGACAAAAGCATCATTATAAAGTCACTAAATACAGCGTGTTTCAAAATGAATAGAGGGGTTTCAACATGTTATAATATTTGATAGATGAAACTTACAGCCACAACACAAGTGATATATCAAATGAAAGAGAAACTCAAACAGTTTTTGTTTGTTGGCATCAGTGCGTATGTTTCCGCCGCAATCCGCTAGAAAGCGCTAATAGCAAAGATGGCGACTAAAGAACAGAAAGCGTTTTGTGTTTTACAGTTTGCAAAGACGGAATCTGTTGTTACTGTGCAACGTGCGTTCCGGATTAAGTTCGGTTGTGCTCCTCCAGGTGATAACAACATTCGTAGATGGTATCATCAGTTTCAAGACACTGGCTGCCTTTGTAAAGGCAAGAGTACGGGACGACCACGAACTAGTGAAGAGAGCGTTGAGCAAGTGCGTAATTCGTTGACGCGTAGCCCTATGAAATCCGTTCGGAAGGCTAGTCGTGAATTAGCAATTCCTGTGACGACTGTTTGGAGAGTTTTACGGCGACGCTTAGAGCTACGTCCTTATCGTTTGCAGTTGTTACAGGCTCTGAAGCCTACCGACCATCTTTTACGTGCCAACTTCGCTAACGACATGTTGTTGCATGACAATGAAGATTTTCTGGATCTTGTCGTCTTCAGTGATGAATCGACCTTTCACCTTAGTGGTCTAGTTAACACCCATAATGTTAGGATTTGGGGCTCAGAAAATCCCCACATGATGGTACAAGTGCAACGAGACTCTCCTAAATTGAATGTTTTTTGTGCCATATTCCGGCAGAAAATGTATGGTCCTTTCTTTTTTGGTGAAGCAACTATCACTGGTACTTCTTATCTGGATACGTTACAGCAATGGCTCTTCCCTCAACTGACACATGATGAACCACAAAACTTCATCTTTCAGCAAGATGGTGCGCCGCCTCACTGGCATAATGAGGTACGCGATTGGCTTAACCTAACTGTACCCTACCGCTGGATTGGCCGTAAGGGGCCTAATGACAGGGCTTGTTTCGCATGGCCTCCACGGTCACCCGACCTAACCCCGTGTGATTTTTATCTTTGGGGGTTTATTAAGGACCGTGTGTATGTGCCTCCACTGCCAGCCGACCTTCCCGATTTAAGAAACAGGATTGAAACAGCTGTTGCAGCAATTACTAATGAGACACTCATCAAAGTTTGGGAAGAACTAGCATACCGTCTTGACGTATGCCAAGTGACGAATGGTGCTCACATTGAACACTTGTAGGCTATAATGTAAAACTGTTTGAGTTTCTCTTTCATTTGATATAACAATTGTGGCTGTAAGTTTGATGTATTAAATATTATAACATGTTAAAACCCCTCTATTCATTTTGAAACACGCTGTATATCTAGTGACTTTAGCTGTTTAAAGCACGCGAGCGCTGAAAGCATTGATTTGGTGCAAGGTTAATAGATTCTCTCTATTAACCTTGGATTTGGTGTGTATAATCAATGGCTGAAAGTAATGCACCTACATCTGAAAAAAAGATTATGCTCTATATTCAATGTGGAATATCGACGTAAATAACGAAAATACAAAAAAGTTTATACCATCTTTTTTATACAAAATTTTGTTATCTTTCTTTTGTTATATGAAACTTTACTTGCTAGAATGCACGACTACAGAGATATCAGCGAAAAAGTGATTTGGAGTACCTTTTTTCCAAGATGGCGGCTCGAGCTCTAGGAGTTTCGGCCCCGACTTTTAGTATGTTCGAATACAAGCCCTAATGTACCTCTATACCAATTTTCAGCTTTCTTTCAATTACTTCCGCTATTCGTGGAAATTTGATCTAATTTGACTGTGCTATGTAGCGTTGAGTGAAAAATTATGTAGTCAGTTCGCATTGTCAATGCCAAACTCTTTTTACAAAGGATTACCTAAAAGGTACCATCATTCGAATTTTCTAAGGGAAAGTATAATCAATCTGTACAGAAGGTTCAACCTATTGATTTGACGGCCTTTTCGAAATACCTACGCTAGCAAGACATACGTAATCGATCAGGTACCCAAGAATTTCGATGTTAAGGTAGTCACATTTTTCACGTATTTGTATGTCCACCTCATTACTGTGGCTTTAAGGGCCTAGGATAGTGAAAACCTTATAGTTGGGTTCGGAATTTTTATACTTCTAATATCACGAATTGTATTTTTTTTTAATTGAGCTAATGCTTATACTATTATTATTATCGTTTAAAAAGGGCTTAGGTATGTTGAACACTACGAGTAAAAAATAAAAGGAGAGAACCTTGCATTAAAAGAGGTCGAGACGGAAATGGACAAAAAGGAAGTTATAAGAGTGGGGAGAAACGCGTCATTGTTGGCAATTGTGAAATAAAACAAAACTGACATCGTCTCTTCTATTTTAAGTCAAATCGGCATAACTGACCAGCGCAAAGGAAGTAGGTAGTATGATGACGACTTCCGTCGCGTGTTATGCTATTTCTCACCACTATTATATTCTCTCCTCTTATTTTTTACTCGTAGGGTTAACAGTAGCGGCCACTACAAGCCCCTTCTCACGAGACGTTTTTGAAGCGTTGCGGAGTGGCGCGTCTTTGAGCGCTACTCGTTCGCGGGCACAACTGCCAAATCGCTCAGCAGCACTACCTCAGAGTAAGAATCTTACTCTGAGAGCACTACCATCAAGTGGCGTACGACGTGTTTAGCCGGCAGGTGACACCCGTGAAACTGAAATAAAATAGTTATTACTTTCCAAATCAATGCTCTCCTCAAACTAGACACGATTTTTTAAAAGAACGGCGGCCTCTCTAAGTACGTGCGCTTTCCATGCAAAAAAACTTATCTTACGTTGTGTGGTGTGGCGCTCCTGAAAATCGCTTTCCGCTAGGAATGGCGCTAGCGCGTTTGTGTAGAAGTCATGCGCCAGTGTCTCATATAATGCACTATTTATTTATTTATTATCCCTCTCTTGTTCTGGGCCCTCAACAGGCTTGCGCCCAATTACAGAGTGCCCCGCATAATGCTTTTTAGAGGTGCCTCTGCAGAAGGTCTTAAGTTGTTTTATCAAAGAGTACCCAATAGTACTCTTTGGTTTTATACTACTCCTCGATTTACCTTACGAATTAGGAAAACTGCAGGAAAACCTACTTCGGAGTAGCCGGCAGAATGCTCGAAACTGGTCTAAGGTAATTTCCATCTCTGCCACAGATGAAAAATTCACCTCAACCCAGGTTCGAACACCCGATCTCCGGCTTTATAACTCAACGTCCTACCATTGAGCCATAATGCCGGTATTTCGCTATACGGACAGCGCCACTCTGCAGCGCTTCAAAAACGCCTCGTGAGAATTAAGGGGCTCTTTACTAGGTACACCGAGTTAAAAAAAGTCAATTTCATATCCTACTGGTTGAAAATTGTAACACAAGTTTCCATTACATGTCTGACACCTCAAACATACCTATGACCATTGTAATATACAATGCAACGACATATCTAATAAAAAATTCTTAATAAAAATAGTTTAGGCCTCAACTTCCCAAGCGACGGTGAAAAGGAGAGAAATCCTATTTCTACAATTTCCCACATGTAGACTTGCTCGTTCCTATGGGGAAATTTTTATAAGCCGATCTTGTTGATAAAACAGCCAGACACATTCTTTCAATGCTCAAAAAGTGAGTTTGACGTAAACCAACGAGCGCATCAAATAACCCGCGCTGTTTCTTCATGAAATGAAGCTTCCTTTAGACATAGAAAGATAAGGGTCGAATTATCTAGAATCTAGAGTTGTTAAAAGCATATATTGACATTGAAAATTCATACAAATATTCTGACAACAATAAACAGCATAAATTGCATACAACACAAATACAGTTTTGAATAAATCATGTTCCTAAATCAAGCAGATATTTTAAACTTTTTTCTCAATACTTATGACTGCAGTTAAACGAAAAAATTCTGCATAACAAGGCAGAGGACTTATTTGAGATTTTGTGAGCCAAAGTTCTTTGGTACCATCAAATTTCATCGGTTTAGTAGAAAGTCTACAATGACCGTGTGTAAAGAAGATATTCAAGGTAACTCCAGCCGGCAAATCGGAAGTTAAAATCCATGAATCATCATTCGATACTTTTGATTTAAGCAAGACAAGTATGTTTCCTATGTTAGTAAAATACATTTTTGTTACTGGTTTTATATCGTACAGGTCGATCGTAATTTCTCCTGGATTTGGAAAATATGTTGCATGGTCCTTAAGATGTTGTATGTTTTTGTGAATTTCATTAAATCTAAAAAGGTCATTGCATCCCCCAACTGGACATAAGTATGTTCTACATTCACATATTTCAACATGTTTATCTAAATCCGTAGCAATACAAGAATAGGAGCATCCTTTAAAAATACAGGGATATACACAGTTTTGGTTGTACTGTGGGTTTGAGTACTGTACATAAGTACCATCATGTTGTGTGCGACATTTTTTACAATACTTTTCAAGCGGCTGATTTGTGGAGTAATAGATGGGAAATGATAACTTCTTACATATAATGCAAATATTCTCCCTCAGATCACCCAACAAGCTTGAACTTTCTTTTTCAAATTCTTCCCCTAAATGACGTACAAAAGAGCTTGATACAACAATTTCATTTTTACTGCTTGAAACTTTGGATTTGACAGCAGTAACTGAAAATATTTTGAAAGTTACTGAAGACGGATTAGACAAGAGTGTTAAATATTTTTCAATTTCAATTTGCACAGAGTTTGTATTACTAACAGTGTGAGTTTCATAGGCTGTACACTGTTTCTCTGAAAAATTCAAGTGAAAGTTCATACCTTCGGCCAAGTCACCGACAATTTGCGTCTTGTAATAGATTAGCTCTTCCGTTACTAAGGCTGATGCCACTTCTAAATGTAAACATTTTATAACAGAATCATAACGGTATTTTATAACTACAATTACATTATCCACCATCATTATTAAATTACAATGCTTATCTTCATCCAGGTTTATTTTAAATGTGCCATCCTTGGTAATCAGATCGCTATGAAATTTGACAAAGTGGGAATGTAAAACAGAAATAGGAACATTTAAATTACAATCATTGTGTAACAGTGCAGGACACGGCACGGTACGATGCGGACATTTCACTTCATGTGCCATGCTGGTGTTAAATAACAACCTCTCTTTGCAGCCTAGCGAATCATACCGACACGGGAATGTGAAGTTTGCCATTATATTTTCAAAAGTAACGTGGACTACAGCTGTGCTACTTGCTTCGCATCGTCCGCAAATAGAGTTCCCATTCTCTATCTTAACTGGTCCACATGATAAATATGCTTGGCAAATATAACAGCGGCAGATATTTGCAACTTCCATTGGCAGCTCATATAAGATTGCACCAGTTGCCATACTGATAAGATTCTGGAAGAAAACGAGACTATATTATAGGCTCGATTATAGGAATAGAACAGACATTCTTGGTTTACATTGCAACAATATGCTCAGCATGAGAAAGTGCCCGAAAACCTACTGATGCTGTCTACAATCACATGGTTCAATATGAAAAACATACAATTGTAGACCGGTATCAGAGGCGCTTTCTTTCGACTAGGTACTTCGCGATCATGATTTTAAGATCGTGATTCTTGGTATTACGTTTTACGAAAGAACGCGCGAATTTGGACCAAAGACGTTTTTTTGTTTGGATTATAACAATAATTTAAATATAAGTTGAAGTACTTGCACGATTATGCTCCTATTCAGTTAAAAATATTGACTAACCTAAGATTTGAGCAAAAATATCCTTGCATTTATAGGTTACGAATTCGTGTTCAGTAAACAAATCATAAAACTTTATGTTCAGTTTGTTCGCGACTTTGATCATAAGATCACACTTCGAAAGAACGTGATTTGACAATCCAAACGCGTTTGGATCACCGAAAGAAAGCGCCACAGTTCAGAAAATCATGCGGGCGGCACGATATATACCTACTTTGGAGCCGAGTGGGTAGATGACAACGTTGAAAACAAACAAATTGTTGAACCTTTACACAGAAATGTACGGAACCTTATACTAGGAAAGAGAACTTTGAATTTGTTGAACTGTTGTTATTGTGGGCAAACACATCACAGAACACATCCGTGTGACTCTCTCTACTCTACTCTATACTCTATCAAGAGCCGATGTATGAGTATGTCTATGACAAGAGCGCATGCGTTACCCAAGGTCTGCGCGTTAATCCATTGAATTATCTTTAAGGCCCCCCTTCACGTGCAGTTTTATGTCAGTTTTGGACTGACGCTCCTTCAGTTAAATCCAAACTCGCACGTGAAGGGCTTAAACATGCCAGGCGCGCTTCAGTTGCGGCGCGGAGCGAAGAAATTAAATCGTACTAAATTCCTGGCGCGAACTGACATGCAGCAACAGCAAGATGTGAGCATGTAGATGCGGCTCAGTTTTCACATCAGGATTGACACAATATGACAAAGGTGGAGGTAGTACGCTTAAGGTGTGCAAAAGAGAGATAGCTTTAGTAGAATGTAACTGATGATTCACACATTACGGTATCCTGTTTGTATAAAAGGTCTTTCAAAGTTCCACTGTCCATTCCACAAATCACTGTATGTGATTTGTGGTCCATTCTAAAATAATTTTGATAGTCCTCAGGGTTTGTTTGATTTATCTCCTTTAACAAATCGATGTGTGTGGATAGTGGGTTCATTTCTTCTCAAATACCAGGGTTTCGGTCAATACTTTTTTCTCTTTCTTCTTACTTCCCTTTCGTCGTCCACCAGCAACAAAAAAGCAATTGCTTTCCTCTTCTTCAAACTCATTCTGTAACAGCACTGTTGCACTACCAGACTCAGCAACAGAATAAAACTGAAATAAATTAAAAATCAAGCGCGAACGTGAAGATGCAACGCATATCACACATCGGGAGCGCGCGCCAGGAATTCAATCCGGGAGCGAAGATAAGAACTGCACGTGAAGGGGGGCCTTTTTAGACTATGAAAGAGAGGGGACCCGTAATAGAGAGCGCGCGCGTGAAGCAAATTGCGATCATACTGCCACCACCAGTGGCGCCCGCTCGGGTATTACATTAAGAAATTACAATTTATTTATACTGCCATCATGGTACGATTAACCTGTGTGTACAGTTGTCGGACATAATATTGGGTTCTTATTTGAATAGAGACAAAAAACGCGATAAACGTAAACATACGACTCGACTTTGATCGTTTCGGAAACTGGGTGCGCGATATAAACGCAATATTATTGAAAGTATACTTACATAAGTATGTAGATATTACCACATAAACCTTTAGTAAAATTCTGCACACCCCGTTTTTGAAGCGATCAAAACTGAAAAAGGGTAAATTATAAAAGAGTATAATGTAGGTACGGTATATGTTCGTTATGCTCCAATAACACTTTGCAACACATTTCGCTTTTAATTAATGCACACATCTTTCTGGTGAGGAACCCTGCAACGTATTTAACAATTTGTTCAATATTGCAGAGTTCATGCTTTTTGAACAAACATTTATTGCATATCTTCCACTTCTATTTCATTGTTCCAATTAATTGAAGCATTAATAATTTGTTCGTTGCTTCCTTGCGACGGACAAGTTATATAGAATAGGGATTGTATCCAGAGGAATACAGCTCTCCACCCCACTATCTCACAACTCTGTTGTAATCAGCAAGCGTTTGTAGGTATATGCACTTTCAAACTGCCTTGAGGTGGGGTTGTTATTCTATCCATCCCTTGATCTTTTGGAAGAAGAAAATAATTTCAGATGGTCCTGGCGGTCGTCTCGAAATTCGCGTCAAATTCACGCATGCCGTGGATGCGGTATTACGGGTCCCCTCTCTTTCCTTGTCTAAGAATAATATGCATTATATGTATTCAATGATAATACTGAATGGACGGAATGTGCTTTCTCGCTCTCGGGTGCTCCTTTTCTAATAAGTCGGTACTCGTGCGAAAGATTTCCATTTGCTGTTAATGCTTCGCCGGCTCACCAGTCCATACCACAGAACAGTAATATTGTCCATACCACCGTGCTCCTCACTCTTTCGTTCTATATACACAGAACTAGTTGAGTAAAGCAGTTAGGTAGTGCTTTGGTAGGAGGCAAGGATGCTATATAATAATTATAAGGATTGCTCGATCCCTATACTTGTAATGTTGCCCGAGTTTAAGTCATATGTGACGTCACCAACGGACCTGGCTGTCAGAATTGACAGTTATAATTTGCTAAGTTGTCAACGTTTTTGCATTAGCGTTATAACTGTGTGTATGTGTTCGCTATATTGCAACAAAAATGCTTGGACGTCGGCGTGCAGTATTGGACTATAATAACAATTTGGTATAGTATTCACATTTTACACTCAATTGGCGCTCATTTTAGCCAGTGTCAAGAAGAACGTCGAGAAATCGTTATTTTAAGATGGACAAAGTTGAAATAAACTGATTTAGCTGCAATTTCCATGGATGATGAAGAGTAAAAAAACCAAGAACGTAGGATGAAATGGGTTCACGACATTTTGAGTATGCAAAAAACCGAAGGAGAATTTGTAGACTTGTAGACGATGAATGACAGGTGTTTCTAATTTAAATACCTACCTATATAACTTCCATTTGGACGTATTAGAGCCCCTTCTTACCAGGCGTTTTTTGAAGCGGCTGGTAGCGTGACCCCTTCACACGGTGCGATTTGCAGCGCCACAAGTAGTGGCTTCACGCAACAAAAGCGCACGTACCAAGAAGGGGCGTCGTTTTAATAAAAAATGGTGTCTGGTTTGAGGAGAGTTGATTTACTTGTGCCTTAGTAAACAGCGTAGGTACATATTTGTGTACTGATATTTTATATATAGCTAAGTTTGTTATTACTGATATGTGGGGGTTGTAGTTCGACCGTTGAAGGAAGGCGAAGCTGTATTAGGTTAAACACTTCATATTGTGTGGTAAAAACCATTGTAGCACGGTGTGGAAAACTCCAAAATTATAACAGAAATTGTACAGAAGAGACATAAACTTCAGTTCTTACTCATCTGAGAAATAGAGCTAATGTCTCATCGGGAGGAATGGATTTCCGCATAACCGTATCTTTTTTTCGAAGAAAATTTCCACTCATACTAATGAAAGTGGTGCACAAATCTAAAAATCAAAGCATGCGGTGCGTCTGGGTCCGCCAGTGACGTCACTACACGCGGCGAAAAAATTCAGTGATCGAGCAATGCAATCCTTATATTATATAGCATCATTGGGTAGGGGGTACTCGTACTCCAATTGACCATTGGAAAGCACCTTTTTTATAGAGTATAAGTGTTTATAAGTGTCGCAATGAGACCAGCCGCCATTTGCATTGAAAATTCAAATTAGAAAGTAGGCAACACACAATACAGGTATGACGTGTTGTGTCATAGAGTATAGGTATAACGTACTCTTTGGTTGCGTACATCCAACTCGCAACTCAAAAAAAATCTTCGATGAGCCATTACGCTGCGATTCGTCGAATATGGCTTCTGTTTCACAACAATTCTTTAAGGATTGTCACACACATCAAGTTCCGCCACAGCTTTCGCTGCATCCGTTTACGTCAGTCACTTTCGATACCTTTGACCTCCAATGCGACTTTACACCATATATATATAAGAGAAGATATGCTTTACACGCGTAAATACAATTGCTGAATTCACGAGCTTCGAAACGTAAATTTTTCATCGTTTGCCATGTTTACTGATTTTTTTGCCTTTATTTTTGAGTGGGCGGGGTTTCAGCCAAGCCTGCTGTACCATACCAACCCACTATACATTTACAAATATCCATGCCCGAACCCGGATTCGAACCAGGGACCCTTAGCACCACAGGTCAGCTTTAACTGAATTCAATGCCATAACCTAACGTTTTCATGTTAGAGGGCGAACGTCTTTTGAATAAACACAATCCTAGAGTCAAAAATGTAACAACTAACGGAACTCTATTTTGTCTAAGTAAGCCGACTACTTTTTCCCACACACATTCCCCTCAAGGAGTAGGTACACCTTCATACCTCTTGATCTTGGTCACTTTAAATAAGTTCTCCTCAGTGAATGATATAAACTTTTTTCACGATCCCCTAAATGTAATAATAAATCAAATTAGATTTTTATTAGCCCTAATGTATGTTTAGAGGCCCAGTGCCATGTAATGGTTAAACAAATAAACATACTTATAAACAAAAACCTTAATCGATCTCATTTACAGTATTTCAACACAGATCTCAATTATTCGTCTAATAAACACACAATAACCATATACATGTAGCAGAAACACAGCTTAAGTAGTAAAAGTAAGCTATGGCAGAAACTTGATGCAACATGGCCGCCGATCATTATAGACGCTTGTAATAATGTGAGGGGTCCGAAAATGTTGACTTCCCCTATACCTACAGTTGACAACTCTGGAGAAAACTTAAGAGGAAAAGTCGCGACCGACCTTTCGCGGCACTTTTGAATCTCGGTAGCAGTCGGCTCGATATGGATTGTACTAATGAACTCCTACATTGTGTACGCCGTTCTTGTGTTGAGAAGTGAGACCTAATCGAGAAGGGAATTAAATAAAACGCCGAATTTTGTGCGCAAGAAAAGACTAGAACGTATTGCGCACACAACAAGGAAATACCAAAGAAACCTTTTACGGGACAAAAACCCCGGTATAGCCCACACAAATACACTAAATAAATCAACTACGACAACAACATTCAAAAGAGAAAAATAAACAAATGAAAAATCTGAAATTGTACGATAAAAATGAAATAATCGTACTAAGTGCAGTTAAACAAATTCATAAAAACAAAACATACGAGACATCACAAATGCAAGTGGAAAATTATGATAAATCAATTTAGTACACAAACGCATTAAAACACGTGTGCGAAATTGAGATAAAACTAACTCGTAAAATGATAAATGGCAAGTACATAGAATCAAAATATCGCGGCTCTACTAAAGGCTCGGACCTCGGTTATCATAAATGAAGGTGAGTAAGCACATCACATCTGATGGACACCAATAATATAAAGTAGACCATAGTAAAACATAAGAGAAGTTAATTAGAGTTTTAATAATTATATATAATTAATTTTAACCCTCAGATTCTTGTTATTTTAAATTATCAGGATGTTGTGCATGCGGAGACTG